GTTAAATATTGTATGTATTTTAAGTCTGTAGAAAAAAAAACATGCATGTGCAAAGTTATTCCCTGTAACAGCTGCTGGAGTTATGAAAAATTGTTTTCATTTGAATTCTGTCTGACATGTGCTTTTAATGCTTTCAGCAGTATCTCTGAAACATACTGTGTCTTTGTTCCATGTTCTAGTGTTTGAGACCTAGTAGGCTGATCATAATTTCATAATGTAAAGCAGAAGCCAAACTTAATTTTATTTTCCATCCAAATAACACCAAACATTACTGTATTTCATCAGTAACAAAGCCTGAAAAATGTTTGTTAGACAACTGTGCTATTTCTTTTTATTGAACACAGGAAAACCTCAATCTGTTGTGATTGGATGTGTTAAAGAGACATCAGCGATACACCAAATACATACTTGTAAAGTCGCTCTCTCTGTTTGTCCACTAATAACATCAGACTCTTGCTCCTAATCAGAGCTCCTATTAATCCCCCTGAGTCAGCTGCACTGACTTGGTTTCCAACCTTTCTCGCCTATTGCTGACACAGGGTCCAGTGGATAAGGGTGGGATTCAAAACTGCAGAAACATCTAGGAGGTGATAACAGGCTCTGGATGATGAACCCCTCTGCAGTCACAGGCAGCTGTCTTGCTTATACATGTGCATGGGGCAGCTGTGTTGACATTAAAGAGGATAAGAGAGACATCCATCCCATATCGAGAGGTGGTAAATAAGATGGTGTTTGTGGTGATATTAAAGGACGGTGCAGGTGGTAGTGGCCTAGCAAGTATCTTGTACCTTATTGGACAAATATGATCTTTAATGGGGCGGAAAGTTGGAATGAATGGATGAAAGTGAAATGGACATCAAACCCAAGATTAAAATGATCATAAACACTTGCTGTGTTTGAGAGTGATACGAGTGAGGAAGGATTTACAAGTGCCATACTGCCATGAACTGATTTTCCTGTGCATCACACTGACCTCCAGGCTGCCGGGGGGGGGTCACAACTAGTATTTACAACAGTCGGATACAACTCAGTTACACTCAGCAACTGCTGGGGGACAAACTGCCAAGTTGCATATTGTTGCTTTAAGGCCTGTAATGTGAATGTGCTTCAACGCCACAACATTTTAGAGGCAGACATTTTACTTTTTACTCCATTATTTTCATATGACAGCTATAGTTACATTTCAGAGTAAGATTTTACATTTGAAGAGATATAGATTACACCACCAAACCATGACAGTGTATAACATAGTTTAAAGCTCAGCCTTGATGAGCTACAACCTTAAATTGGTATAATATATAACACTATCTACTCTAGCACGTGCCATTTTTCTGCAGGACTAAATTTACTTATGATATATTAGATTTTGCTGCTATAAATATCTGTACTGTTGGCATCAGTGTGGTGGTACATCCTCAACTCAAATTCAAAGCGAGCATTTCTCTTTTAAAAAAACATGATGACCGGATCTCAGTGAACCATGAAAAAGACGCAAAAACAACCAGTGATTAAATTGTCAAAGATTTGATTTGATTTGATTTATTCTTTCAAGCATGTAAAACAGTTGATATGATAACACACATAATCCAATATCAATTTGCTTATACCTAGTACATGCTTGAATGGAGTAGGAAGAAGTCAGACTTATCCAGTCCTACCCCATGACATCATCTTACCATCATTGGTTTGCAAGCAGTAAATGATTCACTTCTACCCACACACATATTATACTAAAAAAGATAAAACAAGGAAGAAGTCCCAGGGTTGTAGATTGTACAAAATGAGTTAACATGTTAACATGGAACTGTAGGATTTCAGACTCGTTCTGAGCATTTCAAGAGCAGGTCAGGTTGAGTGGAAAAGATCTGCCTATTTAAATATAGCTACTGTCAGAGACAAAAAGAGTTTTCATCTTTAAAACTAATCACAGCTTTATTCTCACACAATGAATTCTTGAAAATGCTACCACAGTGCCCTAAAGATGAGTTGCACGATGATTCAACCAGCAAGGAGTTTAGCTCCTTACCAGAGCTGGAAAAGAACGGCCTAACAACCAGCAATATGTCATTGTTCAACTAAATCCACTCCCGTGATTCAAAAATTATTTGCTGTGGAAATGAAATGAATATCTGAAGTGTTACTTTGTTAATTTGTTACATATGTGCAAAATACTTTTTCCACATAATACAATTTTATATCGGCTGACCATCCAGTGAAATCAACTGATTTCTTGTGTGCAATCTCTACAAAGGCAGCAGTGACATGACTCAGGATCCTCCTCAGTCCATCTACCCCTGGGGGATTGTATTGTTGGTTATTAGAAGTAATGTTGAAGCACTGTGTGTTCAGACATGACAGCGAGGAGCCAGATGGTTTCAACAGGTGGGAAGCATATAAAGTAGGAGGAGTATGAACGCTTTTACCCAGGCACAGAGGGGAAAACTGGTGTCACAGGGACTGCCCAAAATAACATGCCTGGTGTCTGGACAATGGTGATATGATGCAGAGCTAGATATCTGCAAGAGAAAAGGTTACAAAGGGACGACAGGGGAAACTATGGGTGCTAAAGCAGGGTCACTGCAGAACTGAATCTCTGCAAAGACAGGGTAGGGTCATGGTTATAAAATGTCAGTGAATAGTTTTTGAAAATGCTGTATTATAGCATTTCTGCTTATGACAGTGTTACTGCAATGTAATTATATAGAATAAGTGACATTTTATATTAGCAGAAATGCCCTGAGTCCAACCTGGAAATGGCTAACATCAAAATAAATAAAACTGGGCAACAATAGCACACAGTATGTTGTAGGAGTGATTTTAAGACAGGAAAATCTTGCCAAGAAACCCAAAAGAATTATTACATTATTAAAACAGAGAAAATATCTTTAAAAAATAAAAGGTCTAAGATTTATTACCTGTGTAAACACAATAAAACAGTGTACCATTAGCTCTGTGAGGCTGTATATAGAAACAGGTGGTGCTGAGCTAAATGCTAACATACCCATGTTAAAAGGTATAATGTTAACCTTATCTACCATCTTAGAGTGTTACCATGCCAATGGTAACCAATTAGCACTCAACATAAACTACAGCTGAGGATGATGAGTTGATGATGAGTGTGGTTAGTTTTGTAGGTATTCTCTTATAAATGAATATTGGAAAACTAATTTTGGCACTAAATGAAGTTTAAGAATCACCACAGCTATTACAATTTATCCTCACTGCATTCAAAGAATGAACTTTAGACATGTGAGCTGCTTTGTCTCATTTGCTGTAGATTACCGCTTTTTTCTGGTTTTTGACCTTCATGGCCTTTTTAAACTAAACAGCCTTGTGGATGTTTGAATTTAGAGAATATTGAGTGCTGTACTCTGGTGTTATGAAGTTCTTTTTTGTCTTATTATGAAAACAAACACACCACTTCCACTTGCATCTTTCAACCACACATGTTGACAGCATTAGCAGGCTATTCGACTGTGTCAGTTTCCCTGTGGTTGTATTTTGAATTATTCAAATGAGCACTTCAGGATGTTATCACTGACATGTGCAAACATTGTCAGGGATGAATGAATTTCCAATGCAAATATACAGTTCTGTACTTCATGATACATTCTCCCTAGACAAATAGATGTATGACTACTGGTGCGATGAGATCTTGCAATATTAAATCATGATATTTATTGTCAATGTCATATTTTTGATCATATATTTCTTAAAAAGTGTTAAAATATCATCTTGTTCTCATGAGCTAAGTCTCAACCCTACGTATGACCATGAAATACACTTCGACATCTATATAAAACTACACAGAAAACAGTCCATGCTACTGGATCAGCTGGTTAATTTACTGTAATATCATAAATGTGGACTACATTATATCAAAAAAAGGGAAAGTCAGTGGATATTATGCATCTGACCATAATATGTGAAAAGCAGAAGTTAGGACATGGTGTATACGATGCATCTTTTTTTCATACCTAACCCTTTGATAGAGCCAATATGAGGAAAAAGGGGCTTATTTTCTTTTTTAAAGCACTGCATTTTAAAAACTCTGACTACACAAAATATTAAACGTGGCACAGATCTGTAATTCAGTTATTCAGAGTTGAACGAATCTAGTGTTTCCACTGGCTTAGTTGTAAATGCGACTGAAATCTATTAAAAGCTTTGTTTTCATTGCCAGTCAGGCATATGTTCATCTGTTCTGATGAAACTTGCAATGGGCACACACACAAAATAACTTCTGATTGAATTATATTTTTATTACTGTGGTCCTTGATAAAGGTGGTGGTTGGTTGGACTGGATTATATTGAGAGGTGTACTTCTGAGGGCAGAGTAATTGAAACACCACTGGATATAATGCAGTCTGTCAGTCAGAATAACACCATCACTATGAGTGTGTGATGCAACATACTGAACTGACACAACTAAAACACTAACAAACAACTTAACATTAAACTATAAACATCATGAAATGTGTCAGAAAAGTATTGTTTGATTGCATTAGACTGTCCAGGTGGAGCCTACACTGACAAAACACAAACAATTCACATAAAATGGTACAGTAGCCAAATTGTCCACCAACACGTGACTAACCAAAAGAGGTAAGGAAATCAGATATGCAGTGATTTCACACCACCACTATAATAAATGACACCAAACACCATGGTGTTGATACCAAAGATACAGTAGCTATCACGAGAGGCTGCTCCCTGTGTGAAGACGGTTATTACACTGAGTTATCGTCACGGATTACCAAGGCTTCCGCGACATAACGTGGCTGCAGGACGGCGGACCTATTAGCTTGCTGTATTTGTACCGGACCCACAGAGTCCCGCTCCCGTTTACTGCGGGTTTGACAGACGGCGGTGAAGGCTGAAGGGAACGTGAACTGAGGCGCAGGGCGCACGGCGCACAGCGCAGGGCGCACGGCGCACAGCGCGGTCACACCCCCTTCTCTCAAGACCGAAGGCTACAGCAGACACACGTAACACTGAAACACACGCTTGACAGAAGTTGGGCACAACACACCGCAGACAGAACACCAAGAAGAAATAGCTTTTTAACTCGTTTCAGCAATTTTACACCGTGGTACTTGAATGTGACTCGACAATATTGGACGACGGTAAGACGTTTATTTCACTTATTTTTGGGCCAAAAGTCGAAAGTGGAAATACATGTAGTTTATTACAAATGTAGATAATGCGTGTTCAATGGCAGCAACGCTGATAAGGAGGTTCAGCTAAAGTCGCGCAGCACAGAGATCATTCTGCCGCTATATCAAATATTATTGTTACCGAATCCAGTTAGGAAATTACACTTCTGGATACAGAAACCGACTGTAAATGCATCTGGTCAGACCGAATGTGGGGACAATTCATCTTCAGAGCCAGTGTTCTGAAAGCTTTCCTGATGTGATGTTACTCCATGTGTGGCATCCTGACAGATTAGTCGTTTTCCCGACTTAAGTGATGGATCATTATACATAGGATGCATTAAGGGCTGAATAATTAGCTGGAAGCTCAGTAGCCATAACGTTGATTACAATACAAGTCAGTGTTTATATCTGAAAATTATTTATTGGATCCTTGAGCCAAGGGGGATGTTAGTGAAATGAATTGTTTAATTTTAGCAGTAGTGTGACGGCTGTTTTTAGTGGGTAGCCCAGCCACAGAATGACTAATTGCAGTTCTCACCCTACAGTAAACACCCAAGATCTTAAATCAAGCCTAACAAGTAATTTATAGCAAGTTTATAAGTTTCCTGTAAAATACTTCTCCAGCAGGTTTTCGTGGTGCAACGTAAATCTATTTCTGGGTCCAATAAAGTTTGAAAACATTATTATGCAATTTCATGCAGAGCTACAGGGTCTTCGTTGAGGCTGATCCTCTTAGAAAAACACCAACTGCAAAAGGTACACACACAATGAAAAGGTGTGTCCTTGTTTAAGTATGCCTACATGTAGTGAAGTAGCACTGCAACACACTTTTATTTTCACCTTTGTCTGTTTCACTTCACGAGGACATACGGTAGCGGTCATCAAATCAGGTGTCCATGTGTTGCGAATGCTGCCGACACTGACATGGTGTAGGTGGTGGTCACATTTGTGCCATGTAATTACAGACAAAATACTATGGTACACAAACAACCTTAATGGTTCATCTGTGTCTAGACCTCCTGAATGAATGAAATTAACTGGTGCCTCCACAGCAGAAATTAAATCATTCTGGTTAACAGCATAAACCCAAACTGTGTCTCCAGGCTTCATTTTAGAACTATAGACCTGTTATGTATTTGCCAGGCTGTTCTCAACTGACCAAAATAAAGAGGCCCTTTAGATGTTGAGATCCCTCTTGTATGCAGCAGAGTGCCACAAATATGGTGACGACAGACACTGAGAATATCTCAGTCACACTCTGCTGAATGCCATTTTCCAGGCAAAAGAAACCTTATATCCACCACAATGTAGAAACAACAATAGTAAACCATGCAACAGTTTTAGCTGCTGTAAGTTGCTTTTTCGATTTTTCAAACATAGTAAATGAGCAAACTACATAGCTGAGAATACAGTGGCCTGCTTTTGTTAGCAGAAAGCTAGATGCTACTGGCATGTTGCTTTTTCAGTGCCAACCTGAATGGTAAGCTCATCTATCCTGGTAGGTATTTACTGTAGCAAAGAGTAAGGAAATCTCTATGTGAGGTCATTAGTTATTCTATCAGCTATAGCACCTCCCTGATGGCAAACAAAAGCCAGTTAACACTCATTGAGGCATCACTGAATGAAGCAGGTTATTTAGAAAGGTTTTTTCCATTCAATAACCAGAGGAAGAAAGTGCCAAGGGTTTCATCTTAAACAGCACTGCCTATATGTGAAATGTCTTGAGGGTATACTAAGAAGGACTGCCACATTTCAATAACCAGAGACTGTCAATGACAGTTGCTGTGGCTTTTCTAAAGCGAAGTGTCTCAGGGACACATATAGATAGCAAACGATTCCAGCTGCCATTGTGCATTTGATTGAGTGGGGTGTTTCTTGTCGTACACTTTGGTCAACAATGGTTTGGAAACGTGATACATAGCTCAGAGCTACTTTTGCCACTGCATGAAATAAACAGCTAATGTGGATTTTACACCTGTCACTCTCAGCACCAAGGGGACTCTTAATCATGTTATGCTTGCGTGTGTTATTAAACTTTTATCCATTTGAGAACTGTGCCTATAATGGAGGATTACTTTAAAAAACATTTCTATTTCAATTCTCTCTAGCAACAGATTCTTTTTACCCTGCTATGTTAAACAAGTTAAAGATGATAGTTTTGTGACTACAGTTTATTGCCATGATACCTACCAATATTTATCTTTTTATCTCAAAATCTTTCACCTGATGATTCCCACTACTTTAAATCTGGACCAAGCACAGGATTTGGTACAGACTTGACAAGTGTAATGCACTGATCATCACATCATTTCAGTGGTTAATACATGCAGTAGGTAAGATTAGCATTCGAAGAGCTGTTAGCTCAGATTTAGGAAGCGGTAAGGGTGAGAACCACAAGCCCTCACAAGTGTAGTAAAGCATGTCTTTGCCAGTAATGGTGTTGGTGTGCTCAACTCTAGTTGTGAGTGATTACAGACCAAGCTTGCCACAGCCATTTGAGAGGCTGAAATGTAAGTGATTAGGCTTCCGGCCACACTGCGGAGGAAGGACAGCTGCAGCTGGTTATCAATCAAGCATTCGGGGGGGGGCGTAGAAACTGATCCCATCATTTACTTCTACCAACTACAAGCAAAGGCAGCGCTTTTATTCTAATGTATACGTGTACAGTATATAGCCTGTTGCTAAAAAGGATTCTTGTGTGTTAATAAAACGCAATAGTTACATTGGTTGGAGAAGATTAGCTCTGTGCAACTGCTTTGTGTACAGTTTCTACCACAGCCCATTCAGGAGTTTCAAGGAAACTATTTTCAGCCATATGAAAATGTCAGAAACACAGATGCCAGTTGTACATATTTCATCAGCCATTGAAAACACATAGCACTTTTTGCTCAAAACTGCCTGCAAGGTCAACTCCTGGTATACCTAACTAAATCAAGAAGGCCAGGCCAGTTTATTTATTTTACTGTTTGGCTACCATATGCTGACAAGAGGCAAGTCTCGGTGCCATTCTTGAAATCCACACAGTAAGTTAAACTGGGCATCTGTTAAGGCTGGACCTTCAGGAAATGATTCTCTGAAAGCCAGAAAGAACAAGCTAAAAGGAACGAGGAGAGTGGGAAGTTTATAGAGCACGAGAAGGCGGCAGTGACTATGGATCCATAGAAATACTCTCCCAAATAGTAGCAAGGATACAAACTGGGACCACCATATGGTGTGCTGTGGCATTGGTTTTAAAATCCCTGTCATGTGTATCCTGCAGTATTATCCTTCCAAAATCCCTGAAGATGATTCTCATAATGAAAGTTCAGTCATGTGATCCCCGGCATTTACTGTATGTCAAGGATCATATGTTCGAGATAATGCCTTGTGGACCTTGAAAAGAATGTATACTTGCTTTAGAAGAGACATTGTTTGAAGCTAAAAGTAATGTCTGCTTGTACTGAACATGCAGCATCGCTGCTAGCAGATTTACCACAGAGCATTAACCAAATGTATAGTGGCGAGATCACCACAGAAGGTATTCAGTAGTTCCCAATCAGTCTAGTGAGGTGATTTCAAGTATTTAACTTCTAACTAATCAAGTGTGAGTTTAATAGTAACTGGAATTTTTAATTACAAATGACTTTTAAACCAAAACTAGATTAGGCCAGTCTTAAATTTTGTGTCAAGACGCCAGCATTTTGTTGAATGTGATATGAAACAACATTTTGAAGCATTGCATTTACTGCTATTTGCCAAACATATTGGATAATAAGGCTTTTTGTTACTCTCTAGAAATGATTTGTCCTTCCTTGATTTATGCTAAATAGTTCAGTTTCACTGAAATTGAAAAATAGAAGTCAAGTCAAAGTATTTGTCATGTGCACAGTATGGAAACGCGTTTCCCTGTCCAATGAAATTCTTACTTTGCCGTCCACATGAATGCCAAACAATACAAATTAAATATAAAGTAGATAAATAAGTAACAAAATCTAAGGCACTTTAAGCAGCAAATGCAGCAATATAATAAAATTGTATAAGAATATAATAAGAGGATGTATGCTACATGGGAGCCGAGTTCTCCTCTCCTTCCTCATGTCCACTATCATTTCCTTTTTTCTTGTCCGTGTTGAGGCTGAGGTTGTTGTCCTTGCACCATGACACCAGAACGGCCACCTCCCTCCTGTAGGCTGCTTTGTCCCCGAAGAACGTATCTATTTAAGATATTAAATGTGAAGATAAGTGATGGTTGGAGTAGACTGGAGAGAGATGGACAGACTGACTTAAAAAAAAAAAAAACAGTGCTGAACCATGGTGACTTTTGTTTACCACCTTATTTGAAAGCTCTTTGTGCTTGTAAAGGACACTGTCCGGAGTACAAGCATTTCTGTGCTTTGTATTTATATTATATTGATTTTACTGTATGTCTTCTACAGTGTACCTTACTGCTGTATCCAACTGGATCTCTGTGTTAGTATTTTTGAGTTGGCTCATTTCAGTAGTCTGATGACTGATACATGACTGCCCTATATGCAAATGACCGGTGACTAAATAAAGCCAGTTATGCTTGGATGCCTGTCACTACGGCCGATTGCCGTCTTCCTTTATTACAGCTGTTCTTTCTTCATTCTGCTTTTGAAATGCATCTCAGATAGCTCATTTGTCTGGGATATTTTTAACTTCTGGATTATTTGGCTGTTGGCTGTAAAATTTATTTTTTCTTTTAATTGTTCTTTCAACTCAGATGATTAATATCTATTCATTGTAGCCAGTGCCTTGAAAAGGTGATTAAATAGCCATTATTGTCTTAGTGTTTTCTTACGGTTTCCTCTTTTGCATTTTCCAAAATCCTAACTCGGTTGTACAATTCCTTTTCTGTGACAGTTTGAGGTGGGCTGGCTACAGTGATGTCCAGATCCACAAAATCAGCCTCAAGGTCTCGGAGCCGCTCAAAGTCCCGGTCGAGATCGCGCTCCACCTCTCACTCCAGAAGTCACTCCAGATCTCGTTCCAGGAAGCATCGCTACAGGTAGAGTCCATTCTATGAACCAATCATCCTGTTGGTTGCATTGTGTTTTTAGGGTCAAGAGCTACTTAATTTTTCTTGATTGGCCCTTATTAGAGCTTTGTTTTTTCTGTTGTAAGCCTGCAACAAACTGCGTTGCCAGATCTTTGTATGACAAATGCACCGAACCACCTAATGCTCAACATACTCTATGAACGTCTATGACTTAGTCAGTTTTCATGAGGAAAAGAAAAGTACTGCCTCAGCACTGATCAACCCAGATTTCCTTTCCACTTCTTTTTAGTAGAACTTGTCTTACAAAACGGGGATATTCAGTGCATGGCTCAGACTTGTGTGTGTGTGTGTAGGTAGTTTATTTGTTGAACACTATGTTCTAAGAAATTTTTACAGTTTGCTACATGTCTGTTCATTTCCATCCACACGGCCTTGTCTTATCCTGGATTTTATGAGCGCAGCTCTCATTTGAGTCAGCTTCTATTTTCAGAGGAAACTGATGTCTGAGGAAGAGTTCAGCTGTCGGTTAGTGAATTAACTTAGATTTTTTTAACTGAACATTTTTGTACCACTTGCATTACATACCGTTTACATATTAGCTATTGCATATGGAAATGCTGCATCAGGCCTGTCAATGCAGCATTTGCTGGGTACTGCTTGTGCAACTGGAAGAAAACGTGAGGCTTTACTCGGATGCCTCTTCAGTTTCTACTGGAATGACTTGAGTGTGGGCAGTAACATGGCAAAGTGAGCTCATTTCCTGGCAGGGTCACAGCTCATATTAAAATTAGATTGAATAAAACACATGGAAGGGCTCTAATAAAATTTTCAGACTTTTCTCAGTATAATAGTTTGTGTCTAATTGATCTCTGACGTGGTTGAACAGCCCTTGTAACTGGGAAGTCTCGAGTCAAAAGGATTTGAGCAGATTCCCCTCCCCCTCGTATGATCCATGTGACTCCCTGCCCCACCAGAGCTAGCCATTGAAAATGCAGCATCTGTAGCTCACACTGAGTACGCAGTGCTGCTCAGTGCGCTGCCTTCTTTAAATCACTCAGTATTCCAATGAAAAAATACACTAGGTGAGTTGTGTGCTTTTTCTGCCTGTTTACATATTTTCATAATTTGTTTGCATGTAGTGTGGTACCACTTTGCTCTGTCAGTTTAGAATATGGTTGTGCAATGTAGTGTGAGCTTTGTATCATTTCTAAATTACCTTTTAAACTTCAGCAAGCTTTTGAACTGTATTAAGATTTTATTACTAGAAACGGTCTGAGCAGTTACTTTTTCTGCACTGGCAGCTGTGGAAAGTTGCTGAAGATGTATAGGTTGATGTCAGTACTAGATCTGATCCACTTCTAATCTCAAAGCAGGCAGTGAAAAGTTGTTGATGTTGTGCTGAAATGTGGTTTAGGTTTGAACATAACATGCTGAGCTGATAAAGTAATTTTTTTTTGAAATAGGGAACATACTGTATGGAGAAGACTAAGTTAAAGGTTCGGGCTCTAGTACAATGCAGCGGTTTAAGATCAAAGTGCAGCAGAGCCACCGTGTGGACTAGTCTGACCTTGCAGCCTGGCTCACAACCAGAACCGCACTGTAAAATCTCTGCTTTTCTCCTGGCTCCTTTTTGGGCTTCTCATCACATGGAAGGCCACATATAACATATGTTTTGTCAATTCCAGCAGATATATGGCTGCTGGATGCAACTGCACTTGTGTACATCATGTGTTTTATGGTTTTGTGCTACTTACAAGTATGCGTTTTCTATATGCTAGGCCGCTGTTTACAGTGACTTGGTAGCTATATCTCGGGTCTGTTCCAATAAACTGAACAAACTGGTTTAAGTGTGGAATAGTATTTACCATTGCTGTATCGTTTGCCACTGAGCATTAGTTTGTCATCGCTGTGGTTTTTCACTAAAGACAGTTCCTCTACACAGTTCTTTAGTAAAATTCTAAGCTTCAATGTACTAACCAAGTTGAAATAATTTGCATGTCTCAGTTGCTTAAATAAACAGCTCACACTTACGGCATGTGCCTAAAAAGTATCACCCCCTTTGAGAGCTTTTACGTTTCACTGTATGCATGTTTAGAGGCTGTTTTTGTTTTGTTTTTTTTAAACGCTGTGCTAATGTTGTGCTGTATACAAACTATGT